TACGCCAACAATATTCCATTTAATAGAATAAAGGGTATTTTGTAGTGATGGTAACTGGAATGGTAAGAGAATTCTTGTTTCTGCTGCTAAGGAGTAATACCTATTTCTTCTACTGAGTGTACGTATGTCCACGTTTGACCAGTTCAGAAGATCAGGCAGAATGGCAGGCATTAGCAGCAACTAGAAATTCCACTACTGTTGGTGATATCGTGAATGAAACTCATTAGGATTACAACTGTCACGGCTGAAAGACCCATGAGCTTTTACGCAACTTGCTTATATAATATTTTACATACGGTATAATATTTTATATACAGTACTCCGCGGTTGTGTCTTTTACCAAACAGCGCTCACAGCAATAAGGGGGACCACAATTTTCGACAATTAATTATTGAAGCTTGTGAAGCGCGACACTGCATTTGCCTAATCTTTCCGCTTGATATCAGTATTAAATTTTGGTATACATGATGAATCCTTTATTTAATTTTCTTTGACCCGACAATTGGGGAATTTTTATACGATATTTGGGGAAGACGCTTTCCAGGACACCTGGGAACCCTGCAAATCGCCCAATAATAAAACAACTGGATTTATTTATTCAAGATTTGAAAACAGTTGTATTAATTAATTATCAACCATAGAACGAAAACACATCTTTTTAGGAGATTAAAAAAACAAAACATTCCATGCCGTAATTGGCGAACATTTGAAGCAAAAAAATTATTGTACACTTTCTCAAGCTATTATAAATACTGATGAACCTTTGGGCAAAGTTCAAGCTCGAACTATGTTGTGGAAAATATTGGATATAGTGGGGGGTGTATGAGCTATGGTGTTTTTTAACAAAGCAGATAAATTTGTATATAAAAATTATTTATTTGGAGCAGTAATATTACAATATTTAAAGGAATAATGCAAAAAGTTAATGCACTTAATCAATTTGCAATATATTTGACTAACTTTTTATTTTTCGTCGCTGCTGTAATCAGCATTATCAGGCTCTCCTCTTTCACATTAGCATCTGTCCCTGATGATAAATTTAGATACAAATCTTTGTTAGCAGGTGACTAAATATTTAGGAAACTAAAGATTTATTTGTGATTAAAATGTGGTTTTCCTTTAACCGTCTTTTTTCTTACTACATCCTGTTTTTTATCTTTCTTTGGTTTACGTTTTTTCCACTCTTTGATTCCCATATCTGACGTAGAATCCATTTCTTGTCTTTAACTTTCTCCCTCGCTTGTTAAGATTCACAACACAAAAGACGTACACGTAACAAGAACAGGTTATACACTATCACCAAGGTCAAAAACGCGTTATGCAGAATAACCGCATTTGCAAAACAAACATTATCACCCGTTTTAGATTGAGATAAGCTATGCATGAGAAATAATTACGGAGGAAACTACTTGGACTTTAAAGGACTACTTGCGGTTCTTTTGAAAAAAAAGACTGTGGACTATGGTGCATTTATCAAAATTGCTCAAACTTATGGAGCTAATAACTATGGACAAGGACTGATTTTATTCACAACAAAATAGTCAGCAAACGGCGGCTATGAATCTCTAGTAACAGTTCTAGGATCTAAAACTTTCTCTAAGGTTATTGTTGTTTTCAAAAACTGTTCAATTGTTTCATTAAATTTATAATTTCATTTTCCTTGAAGTACGATTTATTTCTTTACAATTAAAATATAAATATAAAAAGTAGATGCCCTCCTCTCGTTTTAGGCGCCTATACTTTCGCGAAATACCCCACGCATTTTATGAAATGTTAGTAAAAGTTCTCGTTGTTAGTGTACACGGTGTTCCATTTAACTGGAGAAATTTGCAATATACATGATACATTTTGCAATACATGATATTTCAAATAAATTATCATCATAATTTATCACATATTCTTAACTGTCCATAAATATTAAAATTAACGTTGTATTCGAATATAAAATAACCTAACCTAATATAATATAATATAATATAATATAATATAATATAATATAATATAATATAATATAATATAATATATACATTACATAACATTATATAACATAATAACCAGATATCACAGTATCTATTAAAAAGACTGCTTGTGGGAAAAATAAGTGTTATTACGTCTTTAGCAATTAACATTGCGTTTTACAATTACGCAGGAGTGATGCTAAAGTTCGAGATTCGACTAAAGGAATACGGGCTGCACTTGATAGACCGACAAAGATGGATCAGGGCATCAACTGTCTTACTGCCACTGTGTACTGCCACTGCAGTACTAGAGAATTATAGCGCCCAGCTGCACTGATCGGTAGTTTTCTGTAGTTTCTCCGATCATCACCAGGCGTATACCGGAACAGTACCAAACAAACGGGCCACGGACCGAGCTCCATCTTTCCTTCCTCTTCCTTGTCCTCTCCTCACCCCTTTCCTACACACAATAACACTCACATGCACTACACTACCACACTTGTCGAGAGACCGGTCGGGAGCTTAGAGCTGGTCCTGGCTGGGGCGGTGGAATAGACCTGTTCGGGGAAAATCCCGCAAGCCGACGTAGGTCGGCGTCAGATGTCAGTAGACCGCAGAGGAAGATCACAGCCACCTCCCGCATGAAAACGTGCACTCTACTTACGAGTCTAATGACCCTGCCAGTAGACGCGCCCGGAATCACTAACCAATCAATTCACTTCTTAGTAGAATAAAACATATTGAATATGACAATTTGCACACAACATTTTAGTCATCTGACAGATTGCTTCCTACGCGAATACCCGTAGTATCTCTCGGCGGTGGAATATCCCTGCTTTTTCTTGGACAGCAATAATGGTCCAACTCCAAAAATTCGAGTTTCTGAAATTATAATCGTTATTTTATAACATTTTATAATAAGTAGATATAATCCGTCAAAACTAAGATGACGAAATCAAACTCACATGTTAACAATTCATTTTAATGAATAGTAGAACATAATCCAATATCTTTAATTATAAACTTCGGGCTTTTCCATTTAAATCTTTCCGATTTTATCAGTTACTAATCGTGGTTCTCGAGGACCCCTTGATGCTATTTTATGGAGAGCCTGAAGGAACCAACAGGCGAAATCTATGTTATTATTTTCCAATGCGATCTGTAGCATAATAAAAAAACATAAATAATAATAATTATACAACACAAACTCGTTTCAAACAATGAAAAACACAATTCCTTGTTTCCTTATACTCTTTCCAAGAGTATATCATAAGAATGCAGTCGGATCTTTCATGCTGTATTTACTGCACGAAATAAATTTCTTAACATTTGTTAGGACAGGTGAGAAAAAAGGCGCAAATTACGACGGAGATGGGGTTCAAGCATCCAAAGCAACAGACGCCGATCTGTACATTATTAACAATATTGCTCAATTTTTATGAATGAATAATACATGATGAATGAAAATTAGAATATAATATTATACTATTCTCAATACATACGTAGACTTAGAAATAACAAATAAATACAAAAATAACGTTTGTAACTAGAGAGGCTGACCGAATTATGTTATCGAAACAACATATTTTATGACAGTTAGAATTACTCGAAAATTGTATTATGAATGCCTTTGAACATGTATGGTCTGCAAATCTTCCACACGTGAAATACAAAGGATCAAGAAGTAAATTTGACGATACCATTGACCTTGAAAAAGGATGTTCCCGTCATCACGGTTACGAAGCATCTTTTCAAGGGCATTGAACACCAAGATGAATGGGATGCTACAAATATGATATGCAAAGTGATCCATTACTTCACGAAACGCAAAATGAGAAGTTTTTGAAAACAAACAACGCTAATGCATATGTATGGTGAGGATAAGCGCTATCCGTCACAAACCGATGTGATTGTGATCACTTGCTTTCGATAATACGCACATTAGTATCATTTCCTTGTTTTTCTGTGGAAGCTTACCTGTTCTTATCGGGAACATCATCCCTCCATCGTTTTCTTGGCCTTCCCGGGCTTCTCTCTTCTGATTGCTCGTCTGCGTTGGTTCGTACCTATCTTATATCATTGATACGATTGTACCACTCCAGCTTGGTTTTTTTCACCCAGTCCCAGGGCTTCTGTATTTTACACTTCTTCCTTATTTCTAGAAATTCTTCGTTTGGCGCCTTTCCTGAAAGAAAAAAACATTAGAGAATTTTACAAATTGAAAAAACAATCATTTGTTATCAAAAATATCCTTCAGGTGGAGCTTGAGCTGAATATTATCCTCCTATTCACAATGCGCAATCTTGGTTTAAATTATCCACAGAACTAGCTCACATCGTCAGGGGCTACGTCATACATTTTTTATATGAAATGATTTACTAAGTAATAAGATTAATTGACTTAATAAAAACACAATGTAACATTATAGAAAGATTGTTTCGTATGTTCTCGAAAAATCTCTGACAGTAACGAGAAGAAAACAATTTTTTTAAATCTACACCATTGACTCATTTCAACAATGACAAACACAATTCGTTCAAGACTAGGGCATACATCAAACTTCTCAGGAATAAAATAAATGTATACTGATCAATGAGAATCGCAGGATACAGACAAGACAAAAAAATTAAAAGATGTAATTTATGGAAGAAGCGTGTCTCGCCACGATTTTCTTTCAAAAGACAATGAGCGACTCTTAATCATCAGTGACCCGACAAAAGCATTTTCTGAGGTCGATTTGATCCGCCACTTCTACAGACGCTGCAGGCAACACTAATTAATGCGCATTGTGGAGCGTGCAGACGGCGCCTGCTGCACAGAGCACGCCGCCCCGGGCCGAGCCAACGCGAGTTCGTCGCACTTGGAGGGGCGTGTTCATTTATTCCTCTATTTTTATGAGTTCCAACAGAGGCGCTGGAGCTGGCTAAGGCACATTCATAATGCAATTATCATGTAAAGAGAAGTACATGTGACCCAAAAAGAGTTGAGATTTATTTTGCATGCGCGTCCTCACTCGGTTACGAAAGCCACTTTTGTGTGAAGGGTTCTTAGAAGTCGTAGAAACGCCCGTCGAAGAGGACGTTTTTGAACGCCCCCATGGTCAAGGTGAACGGGTTAGCGCGCCGCCCGGCCCCGTGCCCCCGGCCGGGAGCCGCAGCGGGAGGCGCGCCTCTATAAAAGGCGGCGCGGCGCGCAGAACCCTTACTCGCCGGCCGCTTGGTGCTCGCTGCCTGTCTCCCGCCACCCCCGCCTCCCCGCCGCCCCACTGCTGCGCCATGAGTCCCCGCTGCGCCCTGCTCATGCTGGTGATCGGAGCCGTGTGCGTGCTGGCACGCGGAGCCTCCAAGAACAAGTGCCCGTGGGTCATGGGCAAGTACCCCTTCGATGAGACGAAGGTGAGTGGTGCGACGCGCTGGCGCCCCAACAGCGTAGCCATTTGCGCCCGCTGCGCTCTTCACCTCGCGTTTCGTCTCAATGCTTCGGTCGTGTTCAAGACACACGGCTGGTTCTCCGAGGCACGATTCGCGGAGTTCAAGTCAAAAATTTGGAGACGCTGGGTATTTTGTTAATGATAATAAGAATGGATGAATGAAGCATATGAATCGGTGCAAACAAAAAGGTTCCATGTCACATTTTGCCGCATTTGAGTTAATGGTGGGAAACTGTTCTTAAACTTTAAATTCAAATTTCTTTGCATGAAAGTTCGTTGTCTGTGAACTCTGTGACGTCTGTCAAAAGCCCCTAAACTATTAATGATAAGGAAAAAATGATCCTTGTCCGGAACTTAGAAAGTTTTGCTTGCTCTTCAAAATTTGAAACTCCGGGACATCGAACGTTTTTGTTTTCTCCGAATCATATATCTTCGCCTTCCAAGAAATTCATACGGCTCTGGAAATCAGAGTCTTCGATTTAGCGTTCACCCCCCTCCCCCGCGTAACTGAGCAGAGCCCTAGAATTGTTCTGTTTCTTCTATACTGGCCGCCTGCCTTTTCGACCATTTCTTTGCCGCAGAATACCCAACCTACGTCATACGCTTACTACAATGAGAGTGAGTTCCATGCTTCCACCTTCGAAAGAGACGTCGTGGTTTTTATCGTGGGTAGTGTACTAAAAACTTGAACATTTTTTCAGACTTGTTGCGCTAACTGACAAAGTGATATGGCAAGGAAGTAGTACACTCCAACGTTCACGGTGACCGCTTGAATCCGTCGAAAATAATAATCAAAAAGTACGGTCATATGGTGGAAGACAGAAACATGCCCTGTGTCCGTCAATTCATTCGTCATGATATATTACACAGAAAATAAAACAACTATTTGCCCTGGTATGTAGTATTCGTTGGAATTCAAAAATATATTTCATATTTACAGCATATAATACTTCACAACATTAAAATCAGTATTCGCCATATACTATTAACGTTGCGTCCATGACATAAATTATTTTTTAACATAGCAGCTCTTTTAACGAATTTATTATACACTTATGTATCACAATGCGTCGACGTAATCTTTATTTTAAAGAAACCTCATTTAGAGTAAATCGGTCAGTATTTCTCTTACCCAACTTCTCAATTCGTACCATGTTCTGTATCTAACACTATTCATGCAACCTTCACCCAAGTTTTATCATAACACCTTTCGGTGCGTCACATCTTGTTCTCCACAACCTCCACCTTTCTTACTTCCCTCATCACCTATTAATCCGATTCCCTCGGCCAGTTTCACAAGGACTGCGTTTGGCCTTGCACTCATCTTTATTCCTTGAACTCCTGGAATGATTTCCCTTGACTTCCTGATGGTGTCATCTCTCAATCACACTATTCAACTCTTTCTTTTTCGTATTGAACGCACTTCACAAGAAAGTTTAGTGCGCAAATGGTTCGTCTTAAATTGCAACTCTGTTGGCCGACAATTGTAAGTAATGTCTGTTAATTTCGTATTTTTAAATAGCGGCTACGTACTGCTATGAAAGAGTTTCAAGCTGTAGATTGCAGCACTTTTTGCAGACAAACAAGTACCATCCTTATCATGACGGAATTGAAGTCGGACGTTCATTCAGTATCAAATCTGACGGTTTCTTCAATTATATTCGTTATATAGAAACTTCGATGTACAGAAATAATCATGAAAGTTTAGTAAATGCAATTAAAACAATTTTTGAAAAATTGGGTAAAATAAAAAATTCAAACATAAAAAAATTAACAAATATTTTAATAATTCGGACCACACACTTATGAATAGTAACATGAAATTAGAATAACTTTTTTCTGTAACTTTAAGGAATTTTCGTTTCGACATTGCGAACAGTCTTCTTAAGGGCGTAACAGCAAACCGAACCTGCGCTTAACTAACGAACTAACGCCGTAAGGCTGGGCCATATGACGAATGGGAACGCATTTGACCTTCATGTTGCTTTAGCTAACGCATTCCCACGATAGTCAGGATCCCACGCGGAAGGATAGCAGGAGTGAGTTACCTTCATGAGAAGGCTGGGAACTCGACGTGCTAGAAAGTGTATAAATATCTATTCAATTACACAAACGTCTAGAAGAATGTTATATTGTTAAATTTTTCCGGAGCAGTAATACTCTCCTTCCAAATTAATCAATACTAATTTTCAGAAAAATAATTTATACAATATACTGCACATTTTTATTTCACAGAACAAAATAGTCGAGACAGAAAATGAGTTAGATCTTAGAAACGATTTTAAAAGTAATTTTCAACGGACAGAAAAATATTCAATTTATAGAGAATTTTCATGTATAGAAGTTCGACATATGGAAGTCAAACTGTAACTCTCTTGATAGAGAGAAAATAAGGAAGACCCAAAAGACTTCTCTCTTCCACATTCCTCCCACGTGAAGTTGCCAAACCCGTAGCGACGCTCTTCTCCATCGCACTCTGAGCATCACTGCATTCATTCTAATTAATATTGGCCCTTAGAACGTATAATGGAAATAACCGCAGTCATGTCTCTACTCTCATAACAATGGGATTTTTTTGAAACATTGGAGACTTCTTCGGCCACTACTCTGAAAGAGAACAGTTACGAATTACGTCCCTCATTCTAAATCGGGCATTTACAGTAGAAACAAATTACCGAATTGTTGCCAAACATCGTAACGAAATGAACGGTGTAATATTGTATCTCTCAATAAATAGCCTCATGAATTGTATAACGGGCACCTTCCCGAAGTCTATAAACAGGTCTAGAGTCTCTTTCTCTCTTCACACGACATCAAGTTTGATTAAAATCAGTTAAAAAGTTTGCGAAAATGAGTTATGATTAAGACGCGAGCTTTTTGACTGACATTTAAAAAAATTACATACCTATTGAAAATGTTACCTTTTTCGAAATGAAAGTGAAGGGAACAAGACAAAAAAAATTTAGAATTATCGATCAAACATTTACGTATTCCGACGCGCTAAAGAATAAAATGTACTAGTATGAAAACAACATTTATTGTTGAGAATAATTGTTGCCGATTTTTGCGGCTTTAATATATTTCTCATCTGACTTGGTCTCCACCCACATCTTGATCAAAAGCACGCACCGGTAGTGGGCTGGCACGTCTTCTCGCCGCACATTTGCCTAAGCAGTGACCGACCACTCCAATTGTTCTTCTATCCTCTCCTATTAAATCGCTTTCCTTCCTTGTTTCCTCCCTTCCTTGCTTCCTTCCCAGAGTCCACTGCCGATCCTTCCTCAACACGTGCTGCTGCATTTCCCCCAACTTATGTCACTGCTGGAACACGATGCTGCCATCGTCCACTCGAAGTAATTGAGAGGTAAATCATAGGTATTAGGGGGTTTGTGCACGCTATAGCAGGCAGCACTATCGATCTTTTGCGCTTGCGCAGATGCACTAAAGTTATGCAAAACATGAACTGCGTATGCGCAGAAGATCGATAGTGCTTTAACGTTCGAGGGTGCACAAACTCCCTGTTACAGACGCAGCACAAAGTATCGATAGGCATCCCAAAACGTTTCATATTATGCATCATAACACACTATCTCTTATAGAAATCCCAAGTCCTAGACGCATTCCTAAAAATTGATATTATAAATGTTCGTTTTCACGGAACATTGGTTAACTCTTCATGAACTAAACGGTTTTACAATTCCCAATGTTCATCTTGCGAGCTATTACTGCAAGAAAACGCTTTCAATCGAATACGTTTTCGAAATAGTAGCGATACATCTTTCATCCTTTAAAAGTAACTTAATATAAGCTCTTGGGGCCCCGATTTACCGCGTCTTCTTAAGCGAAAACTACGAGTAAATGTAATTCATGATTTGTTATGTAACTGCAGAACTTGGACTGCGTCAACTGTTCTATTTTTCTCTTTCTTCTCTTATTTATTCTCTACATTCCTTTTCTCGTCTTTCTTCTTCTTCTTCTTCTTCTTCTTCTTCTTCTTCTTCTTCTTCATCTTCTTCTCCCTTTTCTCCTTCCTTATTTTTCGTTTTCATTTGCCTTCAATTTCTTCGGCAGGATTCAAAACCGCGACCCTTCTAGCCAAAACAGTTACGGCCCTTCAGCTTTAGCAACATCGGCTATCTTCCCTCTTCTTTGTCTTCGCGGTGTTCCAGCATATTTGCGTGGCAGGGGCCGCTGCAATATGGACGTGTAACGCATTAACGTCAAGCGGGTTGCGTCAAGCGGGTGACAGCGATTAACAATGCTAAGCTTCATGATTTATATACGATGGTATACGGAAATTCAAAACGAGATTAAGACTAAAATTCTTTACCTAGTAATGCGAGAACTTATTCTCCTAAAAATAAGTAATCGCTTCTTAGAATCTATAGTTTGGTTTGATTTATTTTCTGAAAAAACAACTGCATGTGACATTGGGGGAGAATAAATCATACGCGAGGATTTGAATGTTGATTTCCCAAACAAACAGAGAGTGATTGAAATGTTTTTATATATAATGCAATTTTTTATTTAACATTTTATGGTAGACGTTCCCAAACTTTACCCACAAACAGCTTTTCATTAGTTTGAAATAAATAAAAATACGACTAAATTCCAAATGCATGCATTGCGTTTAGGAGGTTGTGATCGCGAGACTTGTATACTGGCCCTACTTACTGTTTTTAGAGACACAAAACCTGACATAAGTGATGCATATACATGGAATTCAAAGTGTTATCCTCTATCCTCACAAAAAATGCTTAAAGAAAAAACGGAGCCAATAATAAAGGAAATCTTTAGTTTTTTCGAACACCGTCATAATTTTACTCAAAATTATGCAAATTGTAGTATTAGTTTTGAAAATCTCTATATAAAATTGTTCAATAATATAATATGAAGAAATATATAGTAACACAGAAATCTTTAGCTTTAACAGAACACGTTCGAATAAAATTTGATCCTTTGCAATTTTGAAAAATTTAAACGTTTTAATAAAAATCTGACATATTCTATACTTCTAAGCGAAAGATGCCGTTTATCTAGTTTGCCAATATGAATATTTTCTTTTGCACGAGAGCGAACATTTGTGTTATTAAGTGTCGTTGGTACCTTTGTTCATAATTAAACTGAGAATAGCAAAATACTGTCTAGGGTTCCAGAGATCAAGGAAACGTGCGCAGGCTGTATTCCTCTCTCATATCACACACAGTGACGGCGATAAATTTTACAAATAAAATAAAAAAAATACTTTCTGAAAGGAATTCAGATACTTTGAGTAGCAATATAACAATTGTACGTACTTGAAATATAGATTAGTCTCGTTATAAAACACGCGAATTAAAATATATATTCATATATACACCCACGTTTATCTTACACTATTTCTGTTATCGACTTTACATACGGTGTCAAATATTCCCAATGTTTCCATTGAGACGGCGTCTTTCATGCAAATGAAGCACAGTTCATCATATCGTTGTCACCAACATCAACGCAATGGCAAAAAACTCCATACACAGTACACAATACAAAATGCTATATAATGAATATATACAAATTCTCAAAAGGAGATGGGAGTATGAATCCTTTGAAAACAGAAGCGGTACACTAAGGGAAAGTGATCTCCGACGTAATTCTTGTTTTCTGAAATTTTGGATTACCTAGAAAGTGTTGATGTTGCACGAGCCGAACCTCGAAGATGATTTCTGAACAGAAATTCAGTCCTAACGTAACTCCCATTTAGACGACTGTGATGCAGTGAAATGAAGTTGCAATTTTTGGAAGTTTTGGAACAATTAGATATCTCTTGGAAGAGAGCGAATTACGTTAATTTCTAACTTTCTTTCATTTTACTGATTGTTTATTATTTCAAATGAAAGTGTATAATAATAAACTTTAATTTTACTTCAATTAATGTCCATATCCCTACAACTTATCTGGATCAATGTTTTAAAGAAAATTCTGATTTAAAAGCAATTAAAATAATATAGGCTTTATCTCATCCCCAAGAAAACTCTCGCACACAAATTTCTAACGCAATTTTCCCCTCGTTTCAGATGTCAGGCGAGTGGTACATCATCGCCGGGACGCCGCTGTTGGGCCCCGCCATCTCCAAGTGCCCCAAGCTCACCTTCTCGGCCAAGAAGACCAACAACGACCTGCTCCTGAACCTACGCCTCAACGCCACCAACCCCAAGGACGGCTCGGAGTTCACCTACGAGTCCAACAGCCAGGCGTTCAAGCCCGAGAAGGCCGCCATGTCGCAGGGCGTGTGGCGGCGCGTCGGCACCGAGCAGTGGACCCGTAAGCTCTTCCCCTCGGGGCGTTTCCCGGCGCTGCACCCCATTCTCGTGTGTCTCGTCCTCGCGGGAACGGATTTTCGGCGCTACCTATATAACTAGGAGGAGAATTCTAGCGGCCGACTCCTATGATCGGTATTTTCCCGTTGTCGCTCCGACGATACGAGGCGAATGCATTCGTACCGTGCTTTCGTATCCTATCCTCTCCCCTAGATAGGCATTGCCCTATAGGCCCGTAGCGCCGCGCTCACCAGGTATACTATACTCACATTGCTAACAGTGGTGAGGAAAGAAATGAAGGGAAAGAATCGGGTTCAGATGTGTTACATCGACATCTGGGTAAACACATCTAAACACGACACACGTGTAACTATCTATGACAAGCGGAATTCGAGCCTTGGTGCAACGCGGACTTACGCGCAGTGTTCCAAGCCTCTGTGCCGATTACAGTTAGATAGGGAACTGGTCCTCAGGAGTGTGTCAAATCGATTTAAAACAAAAATATAATTTTGTATAATATAGTTTGTTTAATAAAAATAAGCAAGTACTCATGTCATCAACAATTACGGACTATGTAATCAACACACCTAGCGCTGTTCCGTCGCCAGTAACTCGGTAACTATGCTTTGTGGACCCTTAAAACTCAGCTATCGGGCGCCTGACAATCTCAGATGTCAGGCTTCGTAGACCGTAATCAACAAATCGAAACCTTTTTGAACCTATAACATTTTTGGAGGGTTAGCGCTTCAGGATATCATCACTAAGTAGCACGGATGAACAGAAACGAGCGTAGTCTCAAACCTTTTATCAAACTAAATTGACTATTTGATATTCACGGCAATGTAATCGTACATTCTACGTCTTTTTGCTCGTTAATCATTTAGAATGATTATTCATGCACAGACTCGAGTATATGCGATATAACCTCCGTTTAGGAGTTGGTTTTTGAAAGTTGGATTACAGTCTGAACGTGTTTCACTTTCAAACCATAATTTAGAAAGAATCTTCCGAAAGGTCCAGATACGAGTAGTTCATTACATTTCTGAAATAAATCACCAATTTATTCTGAGACACTTTCCATAAGGGTGATACATTGAATCTCTTGGAATATTTAGGGTTTAGCCTACTTTCTCATAATATTATCGAACTTGCATGTAGGAAGATAAATTTTCCAATTTTAGACAAAACAAAGAACCATTTCAGTATCTACTTGAAGGAACAACAGAAAACTAAACGAAAATCCTAATCACGATAAGGTCACTGACTTGAAAATCGGTTTATATTACTTTCTTTATATTATGGTCATGGACTTGAACTAGGAAATCATTTTATATTTCTTAGGCATATAAAATGTCTTAAAATTTCTTAAATATAGATAACGTATGCCACAAAAACCGGTTGTTATCAAATCTGTATGTAATTGCAAATTTGCAAATGAACCTTTAAAGATCGGGAGGTTCTAGGTTGGAGTCCGAACTTTAATGAATTTTCTTTGACAGCACCAAACTAGCTACCAAAATAGTGCTCGAAAATGCTACAGACAGAATGAGAATTGTAGATGACTGCTGCGATTGGAGATTACCATGGTTTTCTCAGATGAATTCCAGGCGAAGGCTTGAAACAACGGGCCACAGACCGCGTGCGATCTTTCCCATTCTGTCATAACTACCATTCACAAGCCGGGCGAAGGATTTGACACCAACGCTCTAGAAAGACCTTAAATATTGCCAGTAAGCGCATGTCAGGCCAGCGTTCCATTTGGAGTGTAGAGCCACAAGAAGAAGAAGAATGTCATGAAAACATTACTCAACATTTTACTGATAACAAAATGTAAAAAATATATATTTCAGGTCCTCCGACCACCTCTCGCAGATTCCACCACTTCGCGCCCTTCTCTGTTGCAGAGGTGTACAAGCAGGTGTTCGCTCAGACGGACTACGACAACTACGCCGTGTTCCTGGCGTGCCGGTCGCTGTACAACGACGCCACCTCCTCCTTCGGCCGCCACTTCGCCGCGCAGGTGTGGAGCCGCCGCCCCACGCTGTCCGAGGAGACGCTGGGTGTGCTCAAGAACCTGCTCACCGGCTACGACGTCGACCCCGCCGACATCCAGATGGCCGACCAGAGCTGCTACTAACTGCTCTCCCCTCCCTCGTTCCTTGCCATAATTTGTCCATTTTGGGTTGGAATCAACTCATAACGTGATGCAAATAAATGTGTCGCATTTTGTAGCATTTGCTTGTATTGTTCTTGCGTGCGTCCAACCTCTATCCCGTTTATTCCTTTCCTCCTACGCCCTTGGTACCATGCGCTCAGCACACGAATTAGCTATCTCAATATTAAAACGCTGCCGAGACGCCTTTGATCCTAGGAAAGACGTTTGACAGAAGTCTCTGAAACTCGACATAAGACAGCTAATAAGATTGAGAATACGGCGCTCGACCCTTCATTAGCCAAGCCAGACAAATTAACGAGAACCCTGGAGAAGAGTCTTACACTCTAAATTTCCTAAATACTCCCTTAGAAGCAGATGATGCAAACTAAATAAACGTCTCCATCGAAATAAGAATATTCTGGTCAGCAGTATCTCGTCGTTAGCCTCTGTGTGTCAGCTTTAGTCTCAATTTCGAACAATCAATTAAATAAATACATTTCAGCCTTGATACGCTCAACATTTTATTCACCTTTACCAGGTCACTCACTTGAAAACACAGGATAAGATTTTACAAAACAGGATATTGATAGCATTGACAAATTACCACGCTACGCCTTGTCATTGTTCATTATACGAAGTAAACACTGGTGGTTGCGGCATCCCCTCTGAAATCATACAAAAACAAAGAGGAATCATACGTAGGAGAATTGATTGCTTTCAAGTCATAAAGCATTTGAAAGAATGCAGAATCTGGAGTTCGAAAGTCGTAGTGAAATCAGTAAACTGAATTAGAATCTGACAAGTGGCGTGCATCAGAAATATTTTCTGAACAAAATCATACAAAATTGTTTTCCTCAATGTAACTCGCACACTGCTAAAGAACAACAAATAAAATACTCGTATATCACCACTACAATAAATTAAATATTTTAATAAAAGAACTGTTCACAAATTCTGCAATAACCTGTGGTATATAAAAAGTATAACAGTTCTTTCCGTACCAATAACATCAAATGATTTCTGTTACATATCTCAATGGGATCCATATCTCTTCCTTGGAACCTTTCTGACATGATGTCAGCTGTGTCGTCAACAGTGACGTACTATGAGAATTCAGGCGGTTCAAGGACTATGAGAAGAGACGGAATAATACAATTAAATATTTGCATGTTTCAAAGTCGAAAGTGTTTCATTAATTTCGGATTTTTCCCGAGTTACTGGGTAACTAACAAAACCATAGACACCTGTCACTTGGCTTAGGCTGCTTTTTGTTTTTTATAATTTCTCTGCGCATTGGAAATTAGAAATATTGATATTAGCGTGTCGTATGTTGTGGGTAACGTATGCTTAAACTTTTGTACGTAGATATATTGCATAAATGCTTTTCCACATATTTGTTTTCACATTGGAACATACCAGGGCCACGAGAGAATAGTTGTTAACTTTTAAGTTATATTTCGTGAGTATGATTCTCTGAAACACTTATGATGAATGCATGGACCACAAAGACAAATGTTCCGGAAAAATGTTTGATAACGAAATACTTCTCCATTAGAGTGAATGAAAGTTAGTCTTCTTAATATTCCAAGAGTCTGTTCCATTCAGGGATTCAAAATCTATCTTCGTCAGGTTCCAGTTTCTCTTCTTCCCGAGGTTTTGAATCGGACTTCGTCTTGGTTCATCCTAAAGACAGTTTCCAATGAATTCGCCCGAAAAACAATTTTGTGTTATGTCTTAGTAATTTGTTTGGAGTCAGAGAGGTAAAATTACAAATTAATTCTCCAAAATATGAATTAAATATACCTACTATGAATATTGTAGTCCAAAATCCGGCTGCATGATTACGGCATTCTCTTATTAAAAATAGTGCATTACAACTGCACATGTGCTGTTCTACTTGTACTGTTCATTTACAACTATGTATTATTTGTAAAGCAGAAAAAGTCCTTTCTACTAATGCTTGTAGAGTGCATTTTAATGTAGCTAATAGGAAAACTTCCTAAAATGCATAGTTTAAAATTTCCTTTTTCAAACATTTGCCGATTTACGTGGGAATTTGTCTCGAAATGCTGCCATTCTATATAGCACAATCGGTAAATTTTAAGTATCTGTAATTAAAAGTACAACCGTAAAAACTCTTTACAGATTAGCAAGCAAGATTTCAGGAAAATAATTCGTTACTAAATATAATTCGAATTTTCAGTCACAATCAAACACAGCTACTCTTCGAAAAGAACTGAAATAGTCTTTATTTCAGCTGAAATACGATATCTGATGTTTTTCCACTATGAATGGTTATTAATAACAACCATCTAATAACAGTGTTCAATACTGAAATATTTACAGAAACAAAAGGAGCCGTTCCTTATAGATTTCTGGTCGCTGGGGGGCGAAAATCACAACGAAAATTATCTCCTGGCTCACGCTTATGAGAAACGTCACAATTTACGGTTTATATGTAACACTATGGGACATTATAAGTAATTAAACATGTCACATGATACACCTTTTGTTCTTGCCCAGTCGACCTGGCAATATTGCACGTAACAAAACATCACGTAAACACGTTTATTATAACGGGTATTATATTTCATTGTTATTGCTCCTGTTTAAAGCAGTTCATAGTTACCGACTGCATTTGTGACATTGTTCATTTTGCAATATTTGTGTTTCATACATTGCTACAAGTTTGTGGGGTGCAGATATTGGAACAATGTTTCGAATCTAAACAAATTTACTGAACAATGTTTGCTATATATGCGCAGACATTGATCGTGGATTCAGGAAGCGACCTGAATCTGCTGCAATGTGGAAGGCATTAGCGCTGTACTTTGGGGGTCGTGTTGGAGTTCCTCACCTATGTTGTACTCGTTCAACAACTGTGAAAGCATGGGTGCATGGGAAGGAGTTTCCATGCGTTCAATTACCACACCTACAATTTGAAGTGAAAGCACAAACGATACCTCATTCTGCTATTTTTGCATGTTACCTTGCGTGAAGAGAAGCATCAACACAAAGAAGATGGTCGAATTATATTTCCTGCTATTTTCCCAGTGTTCCATGGAGGATTGCCAGTTACCGATCCCGCACTAATTCTCCAGTCACTAACATTCCGACAGACAGTAACACGGAGGTCAGTGCTAGAAACTGTTTCAAACAGCCGTGATACTAATCCCACAGGTAAGTCAAACACTAAGTCCTCCAGACCCACGCCGACTAACACAATCAGAACTGCTTGATTTCACATGAACTTGGAACTGCCAAAGAATAAGGCGGAAATCTTTGCATCCAGGTTGCAACAGTGGAGTCTTCTGGCAGTTATACTTCCCAATCGTCAAAAAAACATTGTACAGCAGTAACAACGAGAGTATTATTCAATGATGGACCAGGTTTGATGCAACAACTGAACATTCCATACGAAATAGAACATTTGAGACTGTTTATAGACACCTCGAAAACCAGTGACAGGTTGCGCTATTGCAGATCATAAATGACATATCAGCGTCAATACCTGTTGTTTATGCGCGCTAGGTAAAGAAAGTTATCCCATGTTGCAACGAGTTCTAGATATGGCGACGATTAATATGAAAACTTACAATGCAAGAAACTTCAATTCTGAATTTGTTCAATTCCTTCAGTTTCGATATGATAGGAAATGTACCTGCACGGACTTCACTTAAATGAAATAAGGAAGTACATTAAGTCATAATTAACAAAACCACTAATAGATTTGAAATTGTCACAAATATATTACTATACCGTGGCCCCAATGCACAAATTCTTACGTTTAAAAGACACTAACAACACCGACACATTAAATAATACACTTATGTATAGATTGTTTACTAAATATTAAATAAAATTATTTATATTTTATTTGCTGCAGGAACTACGGGAAGCGGAGAACAATACTGCTAATACAAACAACAAATATAATACATTATTTAATAACTTAAATTTCACTTTATTGCATGTTTTGATCGTACAAATAGAGAATTAAACATTTCGCAAAAAATCAGTACTTACATAACATAACAGATTAGAACACCTTGTAAAATGAAGCAAATTATTAATTTCCAAGCACTATAACGTTCCAATTGATTTCCACCGCTACTTCCGAAAATACAAATCAACTTGAAATGTAGCGCAGGCTAAAATAATGAAACGTGATAAGGATATTTTGAACCCTAATAACAAAAATTGAAAGCAATGTGGAATATAGTAAAACGGAAACAATTAGAAGAAACAATTTGCTGCAAACCAACGAGAAACTTTGTAGAGAATGTTGTTTTAAAGAATAATATAAGAGAGGTGAAGGTGATTCGACAACAGTACGCTACTGTCTCTTCAATAGATACTCTTCGAGAATTGTAGGGGTTTCTCATGAGGTCTGAAGCCACAAAATGTAACGTCCTCCAATATTTCGCAAAAACTGTTTGTTTCCAAAATTTCTTCCTACGAAATCCTCTACATAATCGGTAAAATAAAAAGAAATACATACTGTCAGTTTAGATGAACATTCGGATTGTTTATTTAGGTTTTTTTGCCTGCCAGTAAAATTGCACGTTAACTCACATATTGAAAGCATCCGTATGCTCAGAAATAATATTCCACAAATTAAAAACAGCCAAGGTTTATCCGCATTTCACAAAAAAATACCACAAATGAAATTCAAAATTATCGGCCAATTTCCATTTTGTCAGTTATTCAAAAGTATTAGAGAAACTTTTCTATATATGAATGAAAACCTTCCTCAGATAAACAAAACATTTTCAGGTGAACAACATAGATTTAGAAAGTTGATATCTATGGAAAATCATATTATTATTTCTTAAAAATACTTGATCAAAATGAAGCACCTTCAGGATTGTTTTAAATCTTTCGGAGGTATTGCACATCAATATTTCTCTTTCAAAATGCCCTTTGTATGTAATTCGTTGTATTGATCTAAACTAGATATCTTCGTACCTTAAACAGTAACCTCAAAGACAATAAAAACTGTACTGGGATGAAGGGTCATTAACTACTGATCTTTCCGATTCATTGCTAATTGCACATAGGATCCCGCAAGATT